CATGAAGGTGCTGATAAAGGGATGCTGGAGGCAAAATTTCTCAAATCATAATTTGGCTGTAGAAGAGATTGTTTGTCCCTTAGCTACAGTATCAGTGTGTGTGTGTGTGTGTGTGTGTGTGTGTGTGTGTGTGTTTTCTCAAATTTCCTCTGCAGAATCAGAACAGTTACCATGAGTTATATTCATATTCAGACACTGAAAAGTTAAATGATATCTCGCTGGGCTACTAAGACACTCATGAGGAAATGCATTGAAAACAGGAAAGCAATGGAGACTAGCCACAAGATAATAGAAACAAAGGAATTCCTACATGCAGAAGAAATCATGGACTCAGAAAAGTCAAACTATTTCTTAAAAAGCCTGATACCCCTTTTTTAAAATAATTTTTTTTATTGCTTTCAGAGAAGAAGGGAGAGGGAGAGAGAGATAGAAACATCAATGATGAGAGAGAATCATGATCAGCTGCCTCCTGCATGCCCCACACTGGGGATCGAGCCCGTCACCTGGGTATGTGCCATGACCGCCTGGTTCCTAGGTCGACACTCAGCCACTGAGCCACGCCGGCCGAGCCTATCAGCAGATGAGTGGATTAAAAAACTGGTACATCTACACAATGGAATACTACGCCGCTATAAAAAAGAAGCAACAGCATGGATGGAACTGGAGAGCATTATGCTAAACGAAATAAGCCATTTGGAGAAAGATAAATATCACATGATCTCACTCATATGTGGGATATAATGTCAACACAATTTGATAAACAAGAATAGATCAGAGACAAATGGTAGGGGAGGCGGTGGGTTAGAGAGCAACCAAAGGACTTGTATGCATGCATATTAGCATAACCACTGGACACAGACACTGGGCGGTGGGGGCTGGCCCAGGGTGGGAATGGCTGGCGGAGGGCCGGGAGTCAATTGGGAAAAAAGGAGACATATGTAAAACTTTAGACAATGAAAAAAAAAGCATTTTTTAAAAAAGCCTGATACCACTGTTACTCGTTTCTTTCCCAGGTCTAATTCAAATCCCAATCAATGCAAGTTAAGCTTATGTCACCTTGGAGAATACTTTCCCATGGTTTTCTCTAATAACTCTCCATAAACTTTAACTGTCCTCTGACTCAGCGGAAGCTAAAATAAAATGAACTGAAGAAAAAAAAATAAAGTGAGAAAGTAATTAAAATGAGTAAATCAAATGGTTCCTAAAAGCAGAGAACTTTTATCTGACTGCAAGTCAACACAGTTAAAGCAATTATTCGGTGTGGTTGGGTTGTCAAGAAATAGCAAAATCTGACATTTTTTCATCTGGAAGGAAACCTAGAGACATCAATTTCATTATTTACAAAATTATGAGGTTGGACTGCACAAATCTAATGTCCATTTCAGCCATATATTTTTGTGATTCTGTAACTTTTTTAAATGTTTCTGCTTATCAGGTATTAGCAAAGATTGGCCAAATGATGATATCATTAAATGAAGAAGCATCTAATTCTAAATTATCAAGAGTGCTAGGTCAGATCATTTTCCAAGTAACAAGTTCAGTGTCCTCCATTTGGCTTTCATTTTTTTATACAATCAGCCCAAATTGAGGTGTGAGGTCATTTCTTGGACAAGTTCTTTTAACTTTAGTTCACCGAATCTGAGTTTCATTTAAGATCTCCTCTTTGTTGCCCATGTTATGACAGTTCCAACATAGTCACCAGAGACACCTTCTACATCTGGTACAGACTATGGAACCCAAGATGCCACGAAGCAACAACTGTGATCCCCCCCTTGTAGAAAAAGTTTCCATTCCAGTGAAATATCTAAGATAACTGTTTATAAACTGGTGATAAGAAATCCTCAGCGAGCGCGCATACATGATTGCAAAATGACCGTAACAAACTCTCTCTCAAACACAGCAGCTTGCTTTAAAAAATAATGTAAAAGGCTTCAGATCTTAAAGTCGGCAAAATGAAAACAACAAAACAAACATGAAAATCCATGGGGATTAAACCTTCAGTTCTCCTTACGCTTTGTTGGAATTGAAGATAGGACTGTTGGTGGCTTTGGACTGTATAGCCCCAAAGATGAAGTCCCATTACAATCAAGTGTAGTCAGCAAGTTTCTTGAGGGTGAGAGCCATGTCTTGTTCATCTTTGTGTCTTCAACAGAATTTCACATAAAACATAGAGGCTTTTAATACACATTAGTGGAATATATGAAATAAAGAGTTACTCTTATAAATTGGGATCTTTTAGAAGCATTAGAAATTTATCTAAGTAGAACTGGTTTTGAAGGGCAATTTCCCTTGGGGATGTTTTTTTTTGTTTTACACTGGCCTGGACTGGAAATACTAGCAGAACAGAATGAATTAAAAATGGACTTGGAAAAATAAAAAGATAAATGTAATTTAAATAGCATTAAGAGATTAATTTTTGGCCTATCTCCTGTTATAGGAAATATGCTGTGAAGTGTTAAACAGTTCCAGTAAACTAGAGTTAAACATGGTTGGGACACCCATTTGGTTTGTGATTACACATTTGCATATGAAGTTATGTGATCATATGTAATATATCCATTAACAGCTAGGAAGGAGTAACTGAAAGTGGGAGTATTTATTTCCCTTTTGGGAATGGGTTGCTTAGCTTGCCCTCTCCATTTCATGCTTTTGAACTTGAGAAAGTTGAACGTGCAGCCATGAGGGCTATGTTTACTAGCCCAGTTTTAGGAAGAAAGTGTTTGGGGGGAAGTCATAAGCCTTTCTAAGATATTGCAGACCAGGTGCAGGTTGAATTGTGATTTGTTTCTTGCTACTGCAACCTTAGTGTGATGTATTAATTTGAAAGATGATATTGGTCCATATTATCATCCTCCATGAGAGGAAAACATTCAACAAAACAGAAGACAATTATTTTCCTGGTCCCATGAGGTTTCTGATTTGTGTTATTGAAAGAAAATCTACACGTTTTACTTCTCTGAAATGTGTACTAATCCCAGTATTCAAAATATGCATGTTAAGTGCTCCGGTTTCATAACAATACTCCTGGATAATTGAAATCAACAACCTAGTTGGTTTTTTTTTTACAAAAACACCTACCATTTAATCCATCAAACTAGAATAAGGACTCACTTGCTTGAATAATTCAAGTATGGCATTTAAATCAGGCACATTATGCAGTTTTCCCTCCCGCTGAGGGGCCTGTGCACTTGGGAGAACATACAGATCTTGTTGCTTCTTGATAAAGTCAGAGGAGCTTAGGTAGAATGTAGTGATGCTTAACGCTCATTGGTTTTGCGTCTGGAGCCACAAGGCTGTTACCATGACTACAAAACTGCAGTTGCTACGGCATCCACAGACTCATCTGGTGTCAAGGCTTCTGGATAGCCTAGCACAAAAGCTATTACTTTATGTTGTTTTCAAGAAGACTTTGAATAGTAGTAGGGAACTAAAATAATTCCAGGTAAACAAGGTTTCCTATACTTTTCCATGTAGACAGAGAGCTCTTCTTCAAAGTGGGAGTAAATGGTCTAAACCCATTTCTCCCAATTAGCCCATCAGAAAAATAAATTAGAGTTAAAGGGAGAAAAATGTGCACAAGCAATATAGAAATACTGCTTTATTACCATTTTCTAAATGCAGTATAACCTCACATGAATCTATAAGTCATCGATATAGACAAGCCCTGGCAGCCAACTCACTGTTTGATAAGAAGGAAAAGCAGTGTTGCAAAGCAAGAAAACAGAATCCGAATCTGAAAACCAGAAGGGCAACTCACCTACAATTTTGCCTCTAAGATAGCTAGGATCAACTCTTTTCTATTTCTGTATTTCAGCTTTATTGTGGTATGACTAACAAATAATCATTGTCAAATATTGATCAACAAATATGTAACTCATATATATTTAAGGTATATAGCGTGATGTTTTGACATAGCTGTACATTGTGAAATGCTATGCCAATCAAGGTAATTACTTAACCATCAGCTTATATACTTGCGTGTGTGTGTGTGTGTGTGTGTGTGTGTGTGTGGTGAGATCTACTTTCTTAGTAAAACTCAAGTGTACAATTAATTATCATCATCATGCTCTACCCTAAGTCTCCACAATTGATTAATCTTATAACGGAAAGTTATTTCTTCATGGACACCTTTCCTGGCACCCACGCCGGATTGCTTCCAGAGTTTTATCCTGCTAGAGTGCTCTGTCTTACTTCCTAGAACCCAACACACTTGTAATGAATGTCAGTCTTTCCTTCTAGGCTCTACAAAGGCAACTCTATTACAATTCCATCACCAAACACAATGCCTCAGACAGTGCTGTCTAAATATGTGCTAACTGGTTTAAAAGCATCGAAAGACTGTCAAACTACAGCAGGAAGACCGGAGAGGGTTTGCGGAGGGGGTGGGGGGTGGGGGTAAGAGATCAACTGAAGGACTTGTATGCATGCATATAAGCATAACCAATGGACACAAGACACTGGGGGGCAGGGGAGGTCGGGGGAAGGTCAAGGGGGGGGAAAAGGAGACATATGTAATACTCTTTGTAATACTTTAAGCAGTGAAACAAAATTTTAAAAAAGACAATGAGAAACTTATCTGGGGAAGGGACAAGTTGTCCAGTGTGCCTCAAGTATAGGGTTCAAGAGATGATATAGTAGACCATAAGTTTGGGGTTATTTTTTCCAGAATCTTCCAAGCAAGACTGAGGCATTCAGGAGGCTAGGGAAGCCAGCCCAGGATTCTGAGCGAGGTGTGATGAGGACATTGCTTCCTACCTGGAATGAGGCAGACCAGCCAGGCCTGTTTGTCTGGCCTCTTTTACAATGTCAGTCCTCCAGAGTCACGGCCATTGGTGCTGATAAACACAGACTTGGTCAGAAAGTTACTGGACAGGGCCTGGCCCCGAGCGGGTCTGTCACAGGCCGGCCTGTAGCGTGTGGGTTGTTGACTTCGGGTAGAAAGATTTCACAACAGGTGATTTTAAGAGTACGTTTATTAACACTGGGGACAGTGACACAAAGGAAGGACTTGGGGCAGAAGAAGGAACTAGACAGCCGAGGCGGAACCCTGCTGTACCTCCCTAGAAACGCTATAGGAAAGCGGTGAGCCAAGGTGGGGCTGCTGTCAGCTCACTGGGAAGTGGTCACAGTGACAGAAGTGAGACAAGACAGGTCTGCTTTAAGCTCTCTGGGAAGTCAGAGAAAAGGGGGCCTTGGAGATAGGATCATGGGGTACGCCCTGGACTAGCTGCTGCTGTCCCATGCTCTCCTGGTGGCAAGTCTCCTGGGGACCCTTAGAGTTTAGGAAGAAGTAAAAAGTTCATGGGTGTGTGTGTGTGTGTGTGTGTGTGTGTTTTATATTACACCTTTTACTTTGCAGTTTTTCTCACCAACCTCTTTTCAGATCAGCAGATGTAAATCTAACATTCTTTTAGTGTTGAGAGAATATTCCATTGTACGGATGTACCACAATTTGTTCAAGCATTTACTTACTAATTAACATTTAGATTTCCAGGTTATTTCTTCTCCAGTAGATATTTCAATACACATCTATGTACTGCTACCTATACATACTGAGCAATCCTACTTTTGAGAAATTATCCCATAAAGATAAAAGCACCTTTGCATGAAAAAAAGTTTATGCTTGAGAAAGGGCATGGGTGTGCTCTAGAGGGAGCCCTTGCTGAGTTTTTGTCCTGAGGGCTTTTAAAAAAAAATTTTTCCCTAAGGGTGAGCATCTTAGGGGAGGGTTTCAGCAGAATATTCATCAGCTTCCTAGGTGCATTTTTAATGTGCTGATGCATCAAAATGAGCGCATACGGGAGTTTGGCATCATTCTTTGGTCTGTTTTATTGTTTTAATTTTATCTTAGGCCTGTCTGGCTTCACCGGGGTGTTTCTTACTTGTTCCCCTGACTTCATCTGTCCTTGTGTTTAGCTGACGCAGATGGCATTAATTGGGTCTTTGTTCTCTTATTTCCCAGACCAGGGTGACTTAGCTATGGATTCTCCCGGCTAGGGCGGTAGGTATCAACTATTTGCTCTCACGTGCCCTTGGTTGGTTAGGGAAGATAAGGTCTTGCAATTCACAAGTTGCTGGCTGTAAGTTGCTCCAATGTTTGGCCTTGCTTACTTTTCTTGTCTCAGTTTCCATATTCCACTCGCCCAGGGGTTTTCCTAGCTTCCTACCATCTGGCCACAGTCTGAACATTCGGGGCCAGCATTTCTTCATAATGTGAGGTACATTATGTCAATGCTACCTGACAACACAGAGATGAAATTTTCAGTTCTCCTGATGCGATCATGCTTTTACCGCCAACTGGCTCTGGAACAAGAAAGAGCTATTTAAAAATAACTCGAGGAGACACCCTAAAAATGCCCAGCCCCCTTTGGGCAACAGGTCTGATTCTGCATGGGGAACAAAAGCAGAGCTCAAGCAAGGCCAGTATCACTTCCCTGACTTCCCCGTAAAGTAAAAATCTCCATTATCCTACCAAGGCCAGCGGCTCTGCACATCAGAACCAGAGGTGAGGATGTGAATAAAGTGTGAAAGCAGGGAAAAGAAGGCTGCACTTTTCACTTTGGTAGTTGTTGTTGTTGTTTTATTTCTTTTCTACTGTGAAGCAAATCGTTTATGAGCAGCTGTCTGGCCTCTAAACATATCTTTCCTTATAAAAATCGAGGGCCCCGGGGGACCGTGAGTCAGTGACTGTTTACTTATGCTCAACAAGCATAGCTCCAGACACGTCTCTGGGCTTGGTCAGCTCTTCATTGTCTCTTATGTATCTGGCTCTGTGCCATAAACGCTCAATCAACAGTCAGTAATGGGAACAATTAATGCTATTTTACAGAGTTTTGTGAAACCAAATAAAACACATAACTAATTGTTAGCTAAATGTTCCAGAAAGACTACAATCTGATTTGGGGTAACTCGGGGACATGTCAGTTAAGATACCAGCTTTGGAATCTAGGCAGAAATTCTGGCTCTGTCAGCTACTAATTGTGTGACCTTGTGCACGTTGTCATGAAGTTACTCAATGTCATACACATACAAGCACTTACTATTTGCCAGCTGCTTGACACTGAAGTATGTACCATTATTATCTTCTTTTTCTACAAGGGAAACTGAGGCAGGGAGGTTATGTAATTGGCCCAAGATCACACAGCTAATGAGGGGGACAGCCAGGATTCTAATTCCAGGAGTCTGGTTTCTGGAACTTGCTCCTACACTACAGTCTCTAAGCCTTAATTTTCTCTCTAGAACAGGTACAGTAACACCTACCTCATAGGATTGTTGAGATTTAAGTGAAAAAACATATGTAAAATGCTTACCACAGTGCCAGCACATAGTAGACGTTATAGTTAATAATCCATGAGATTGATGATCTTAAGAATATTAACCATATATTCGATTATCATTTGGGGGGAGGGGTTACCCATGGTATAATTTTAGTCTCGTACTAGATGTCCTCTTGTGGTATGACTTTGGGGCGTTGCCCATCCCCTGGTTGAGGTATGTTCAGAGGGTATTTGATATTGGTATAGTCTGGTATTTTCCAAGGTACAAAGACTCAGCAGTCAGTGTTTTCAATGTAGCTGACTTCTTTTACTCTTTAGCTCTATGAAGGTCCTTAAAGCAATGGTATGTATCTATGTCTGATAAAGGAATAGATGTTAATGAGAAGAAGGGATTTCTTTTTTTAATCAAAAGTTTTGGAGTATTCTGAAATAAACTTAAGCGTGGTTCTTTCCCTACTGCATACTTCTAAGCGCCATGCAAAAGCTCTTTACTGGTGCAAAGAACATGGACCCTTTCAAACTTCCATCTGGAGCTTCCAGTCCCGTTGACTGGAGATCACTGAAGAAGATAAAAATAAAACACATCAGTTAGTTTGTGCCCCGCCCCCACATTCAGATTTTCTTAACTTGCCACAAACCTGCCTCAGGCACCAATTCTATTCTTTATTCATTTTCTTCCTCTGGAAAAAAAGAGCTAGTTTTGTATTGATACCAGCAGGCCTGTTTCTATTCTAATCACAGAATTAAGCCACTTATTTATATTTGTTAGTGGTTTTATATACCTCCTTACACTTTTTAAAAATGCAAATCATTTTCCTAATAAAATAGACATATCAAATGCTCTTAGGTAAAAGGTTCTATGTTAAGTACTAGAGATATAAATACCAAACACAGAGATACAATCATTGAAGGAATTGTGGGGAAAAGAATACTATAACTAATAAACCCAGAACAGCCAGAGAACTGGGGAAAAAACCCCAGGTATTTATAGTATCACACATGTCAAAGGAAAAGGTGATTATTGGATTTAGGGTCTGAATAGAACAAAAATGGTGAATCATAGGAAAATGCACTCTCTCTCTGCTGGACTGATTGAGACAGGGACTTACTCCAGGACTGCTCTTGCTTCAACAGCAAGAATGTTCTCTCTCTCTCTCTCTCTCTCTCTCTTTCTCTCTCTCTCATCCATGTATGGCCTCTAGGCACTGCTTCTACTGTTTCTATTGCCCCCCCTCCCTCTCTGCTGCCCAAAAGAGTAGAAAAAACAAACAATTTTGGAAAAACTACGAATTTTCAAATAAATCTAACTTTTATAGAGAACGTTTTACGTCACAACGTGTTTTATGGAGCTATACGGCAATAAGTATGAATGGAGTAATGGCATAATTTAATTTATAAATTAAAAGCAAAATCTGTGATACAGACTGCACTTTCAACGGGAAGGCAATGTGCAGTATTCACAGGCTGATTTGATCTGATACAATTTACTTTCTTTCAGGCAGTAGTTTGATGGGCCTGTGTCAGACTGTCTGGTCAGTTCCGAAATTGAAGGGAAACTCAGACTTGCCCTCCTTGACCCGGGCAAGATGGGCAAGACAGCCGCAAGTCTTTGTTCTCAGGCCATTGCTTTGCATCCATTACCCCAAAGCTGGCTGGCAGAGCTTAGCAAAAATTGCATTTTGCAAGAAAGTTTCCAAACCTTTCAACTCTACAAATGACCCATACCCTTTGCTCTCCACTTAGGAAAAAAACATATCTCACCCTACCCGCAACCCCTCAAAAAAAAAAAAGGTAGCCTTTTCATTTTTGACTCTTTATGTGGTTTATTTTATTTTATTGCTAATTTTTGAGTAGCCATCAAATCCACATCAGTCAAAAACTTTAGAATATACATAAAATGAAATAATGATCTTCAGTCTTAGTCTGGCATCTACCCTGTTGCCCATCCCACCAAAGATAAAACAAACAAGGATTATTGTTTCTTCCTGTCTTTCTGCCGGCTTCATAAACACAGATTAATTTGTGTTCTACTTCCCACGTCTCTTAAAGAAGAAAGGGGCTAGAGTCACTCAGGGCGGCCGCCAGTGCCTGTGAGCCCAGGGCTTTCTCGTTTCAGCACTGACAGTCCTGTCTCGGGAAATTTCTTATCTCTGGGCAAACCAGGTGGTTGAGCACTCCAGGCCTACTTACTATACACTATCCAGAACCAGTACATTGTGGGGGATGTTTTCCTATCCATATCAAGATCTTCCTCAATTTCTTATGGCTGCATACTTTTTTTGCACTGTGCAGTTACAGATTGATGAGTATTTGAGGTTTTGGGGTTTGTTTGTTTGTTTTGTAATCTTTTGTATTCCCAAACCAAAAGTATTTATCATTCATTACATTAGAAAAGATTCCATTTCTAAGTGCCTCAGAATTTTTAAAAGTTTCTTTTACAAAACATGCATAGCCCTAAGCTGGTTTGGCTCAGTGGATAGAGCGTTGGCCTGAGGACTGAAGGTTCCTGGGTTCGATTTGGGTAAAGGGCATATGGCTGGGTTGTGGGCTGAGGCAGGGGGTGTGTAGGAGGCAGTCGATCGATCATTCTCATCATTGATGTTTCTATCTCCCTCTCTCTTTCTCTCTGAAAGAAATATATAGATATATATTAAAAGACATGCATCAATGTTTAATAAATACATAGTCTTACTGCATATTCATATTTTGGAAATGGCCAGTGAGTTCTTCCTATGTAACCCTGGACATGCAAATTCAAAGACTGGCAGGGTTACTTTTCTAGCCGTCCTTTCAATTTACTCCTCAAATAATGTGAATTTCTCTGTGGCTAAGTGATCTAAAATTTATTTTTCTATTAAAATTATAAAGTAGTTTGGTTCATTTAGCTGAGTGGGTGATCTGTTAGTACTATGGCCCTGTTCTCACTTGATGTCATTTTTATCTGCAGCTTTAAATGGGCCAGCCATTTGAAATCAAGCTACTCTCACTCCCTATATAATTGCCAAAGCAATACAACACAATATTATCTGAGAAGCTCTTATGCTAAGTAGATTTTAATGTATTTGTGTGTTATCTATGGGAGAGGGCAGAGGGATGACCAGGGAAGTGAACTGAGTACCTACATCTATTCTGACAAATCAATGTCATTGCTATGGCTCATTTCAATCTTTTTTTAGTACCAGAATTTACAGTGTCACAGAACTGCCAGGTACATAGCATGGTGGCTGCCACAGATGGGGATCTGCTTGTGGTTAGAAGGATCTGGGTAAGTAAGACTTGTGTATTTATGTTTATTAAACATTCCCCTAGTGCTTTAAAATCTTTAGAAGTCATTGTACAACCATCCAGTAATATCATCCGCAGTTTACACCTCAGTGAACTTGGCAAAAGCAGTAGCCCAAATTTGGAAAAATACAAACATCTGCCAAGGAACCTCAATTATCCCATAGCGCATGGTTCTAGGATGTAAAATGTTAGTTGCAAAATATTCTTCTAGGAAGAATTCCAAGAAAATGTTGAATGAAAATGTATTAAATATATTTGTATTCAGCCACATATCTAAATGTTGCTTCATTTTATTTAACTACATTTTAAATGAAATGTCACAGCTTCTTTGAAACTGCGTACTTGCTTCTGTGCCTTATTAATTTTTGCATCCCCACTGACTAGATACAGGCTTAGCAGGTGAGGTTTATTTGAATAATATAACATGGTTTACAAAGTACTTTTAGGTAAACTAGCTTTAGCCTTAAGCAGCCATATACACAGGTTTGTTGTGGTGTTAGGCGATCATCATTTACAGATGAGGAAGTTGATCATCAGGGAAGTTATTTGCTGAGGGCCACATGGTAAGAGGGAGACCTGAGGCTGGATCAGTCCTGACCCGCCAATTTCTAGCCTCAAGCCTTTCCACAGCTTCTAGTAGGATCACTCTGCATCTGCTATATCCTAATGCAATAGGAGAGGGCCAAACGCGTGGGTGGGATAATTGCTCTTTTTGGATTGGTGAGCAGTAAATCATGATAACTTACCCCACATGGTATGTCTGACATTAATCTCAGAGCTACTTTTTATTCCTCTTTTTCCTTCACCCTTCATACTGGTTGCCAAATCCAAGTAACTCTGCTTTCTAAATACCTTTAGCAATGGTATCCTTCTTACCGTGGCCTCTGACCCATCCTAATTCAGGTCCTCATATTTCCTTAGAATGCGGTTGAGTCTCCCTATCCATCTCTCTGCTTATTGGGTCTCACATGACACGACTAGGCCGTAGAATCGTAGGTGAATTCAAAGCATTTCTGAGCCTTTATAATATCTCACTGTCTAGCAGGGAAGACAAACATGCAAATAGATTACTTTAACCCAATGTGGCAAGTGTAATGACAGAAATACAAATAACGGGCCATCTTAAAGTTGCAGTTAGGGTTTTCTTCCCAAAGCACGGATTTGATTTTAAATGATTTAATGGTTACTACCTGCTTACAGCAAACCCAAATGCCTATGGCAGCAGGAAGAACAAAGAGTTGTGAAGTGGGCAGATAATACAGTAGGGAGCTACGGGGAGTTTGGAAATTGTCGGGAGAGGACATGCCTAAACTAAGGGTCAGTCACTACGAAGCTCTAGCCATTTGTGGTCAAGTGGCCCAAAGTGGCCAAATCATTTTTTGTTTGTTTGTTTTGTTTTCCCAAGAGAAGCTGGAAGTCTAGAATTTTATGTTAAGTCTCCTAACTTTTAAATTATCCTTTTTGTAATTCAAATTCCAAACAAAACAAAAACCTTAACACACACAAAATACTATGAGAGCCAACTAAAACACATCCAGTTTGTAACTTTTGGCTGATTATAAGAGAGTCAAAACTTTTTAGGAAGACATCCAAGACTGCATAATCTGGGCCCAATCTATGTTCCCTTTAAACTTTTAGGTACAACTAATCTCTCTCTTCTTTTTTTCCCCTGGAACATTTTATTCCGACTACCAGTAAAATATTTGTATCTGGTTCAAAATCCCACCAATTTTGAGATTTTCCTCTGATTTTAAGTTCTTTATTTCTTTCTCCCTAAAAAAAAAAAATTTCTTTTCTTTTCCTTAACGTTTAGTTAGTTATATACATTTTTAAGGATTTGTAATATTTTATGCAAAATTCAAAGTAAGTGGCATGCAGTTAACTGTGTTACCTCAGTGCATACTGCAGCTAGAATCAATTTTTCCCCCCAAGTCTTGATATTCTATAACACCCTGATAACATTTGTATTAATTTTCTATCACTGCTTTTTGTAACAAATTGTCTCAAACTTCATGGCTTAAAACAACCCAAATTTATTATTTTCCAGATTAGAAGTCCCACATTGGTCTGAATGGGTGAAAATTAAGAGGTCAGCAATTCCTGCAGAGGCTGCCTGTATTTTTTCCCATTCTTTTAGAATTAAAAAAAATCCCCCCATTTATTTTTTTATTAAATTGATAGAGCTAATATTGGGAGGTAGCATTATATAAATTTCAGGTCACATTATAATTTACTATCTGGGGACTCTGTTGCATGCTCACTGCCAAAAATCTAGTTTCCTCTTAGGTGTAGCCATTGAACATAGCATAGGGCTTACTGCACATCTTGGTAAACTACCTATTTCTCTGGCTTCCTTGCTAGATTTTGAGTGTTCTGAAGGCAGGAAGTGTTTCTCAGCCACCAGTGGTCCTTGAGAAGCTAGACCATTTCCTAGTGTACAGTACAGCTCTATAAATGTTTATTAAACGATTGGATACATAAAGGGAGGAAAGAAAAAGCCTCCATTTATCTCTCCTTTGAATTGCTCATGGTTAGGTAGCTATGGTAAACAGGACATGCAGAAAGTCTGGCTCTCTCTGCCTTCACTCAACTCCCAGGAATCCCATGTTGATGTGTTAACACGAAGAATGAAAGAGCTCTTTCGGACCAACAGCACATGTAACTTACCGTTAACATGGGCTTCCTGGCTGCGAATATATGGCCGCAGCCTTGTGGCTGAGACAAACTGGATACGGCGTTAGTAAAGGCCGAAGTCCTCCACTTCACGGAGGCGGTTTCCTGTGGTCATTGAGTCACGCTACTGGCTCTCCCTTCTGTTAGCTGCATGACCTCGGGCAAATAGCAAGAATTTTGAGCCCCAGTTTCTTTCTATGCAAAACTAGATGCCAATGGTTACCTTGCAGTGCTGTTGTGAGTATAGAGTTAAGATTTATAAAGTGCTTAGAACACAGTCTTGCATATACTAAAGCCCCAATTAATGTCAACCAGGCATGGAAGAAGGTGTTCACATTTCTCTAGAAAAGTGTTGATTTTGTTGAGATCATCAACAAGACTAGTAACAATAAGTGTTAGAGAGCTTGTGGAGGAAAAGGAAACATTGTCCCCCTGGTGTGAATGTGAACCAGTACAGCCCCTATGGAGGTTCCTCAAAATTAAGAACAGAGACACCACATGACCCAGTAACACCTCTTCTGGGTATCTACCCCCAAAATTTGAAAGCATTTGTTCACAAAGATATATGCACCCCTATGTTCATTGCAGCATTATTGACTGTGGCCAACACATGGAAACAACCAAAGTTTCCTTCGGCAGATGACTGGATAAAGACAATGTGGCACATATATACAGTGGAATACTACTCAACCGTAAGAAAAGATGAATATGGCCATTTGTGACAACGTGGATGGATCTTAAGAATTTCATGCTAAGCGAAATAAATCAGAAAATGTTAAAAACTATATGATTTCCGTCATATGTGGGATGTAAAACAGAAAACAACAAATGAACAAACAAGACAAACAAACAAGCAATAACTCATAGACACAGACAATAGGATGGTGGTTGCTAGTGGGAAGGAAAGCAGGAGGTGGTAAAGGGTGTCTAATGTAGAGTGACGGAAGGAGACTGGAGTTTGGGTAGTAAACACACAATGCAATATACAGATGATGTATCATAGGATGGTACACTTGAAACCTATAGAACTTAATTACGCAATGTCACTCAATAAATTGAATTTAAAAAAAGAAACCAGTTTGCTAAATAATGTTCACTTTGCAATTACTAAATGTCAAAGGGAATGTTTTCTGGAGTTTTTCCTTCATTTACATATGTGTAATTGTTAATAACTGCAAATATCTGTAGCTTAGCTATAGATTCTTGAAAGGAAATGTAACTGAAACGTTCTGTGTACTTTTAAGGGTGTCAAAGAGAAGTATGGAGGGGTGTTCTTCCTTAGCGATCACAATAATTTCAGCCAATATTTGGTGACTACATCTGAATCAACCACATGATTTCATTGAGCACAGAGGTGGCTTGAAGCTTCCCAAGTGGTATTTTTGTTGACAAGAAAGCTCCTTCTGCTGCTCCCTACAGGCCAGATAGTAGAATTTATGATTGGCATTATTACGCTAACAGAATTAATTTTGGACGAAGCCAAGCAAAATGGAAAAAATTTAATAATAAGTATTGGATTTGCTGGATTCTATTTATCTTTGGCATAAATTCTCTAAAATACTACACTGTTTATTACCCAATAAAAGAATGAGACTTTTCTAGACCTCTGAATTCATACTACTTAATGCAGATTAACGAGCAGTACTGAGAAATATTACATGCATTTAATTCAAAATCAGACTAAAAATCATAAAGTAAATGTTACATTTTAAAAATTTTACAATACAAAATTGAGAATGGATTGCTTGTGTGTCTTCAATAAAGAAAGACTTTTTTTTTCACTTGCTATAAAAATGTAAGCTTTCATGTTCTCAGTTATTGCATTTGGGGGAAAATAATTGATGGTTATTTTGTCATATTTACTGTTGAGTTCAAATGTGCTTTCATCTAATTTTTTAAGCAAACCCCCTCCCCCCCACTAAATTATCATAACTAACAGCAAAACTAAGGAATCAGCAATGTCAAATTGTCCTAGGATTTCTTTTTAATTACCATAATTTTAGTACTATTCTAAGGGTCCTTGTATTAGTAACTGTCTTCCAGAAGAAATCTTTATAAAGGAGAAATACATTTTTAAAAACATCAACTACTTGGGGATTCACAAAAAAATGAAGCTGTCACTCATTTGATGTTTGTGCATCTGTGCTTATTTCTTATTTAAATTGCCTGAGTTTTTCCTGGAGTAGATTTCACTGAAAAGGCCCCCAGCCCATCCCCCAGGAACCAAATAAAAACGTTTTTAGATGACTCTTACTCTGACTTTTAGTTCTTTGGGCTGTTAGATACTGGACAGCTTCCTTTTTATTGCTATAAAGGCCTATAATGTTATTTCCTTGGGAGTATTGTGTGCTGTTTTTCAATTACATTGAAATAACTTTCTTCAATCTGTGGTATGATTAATTGGATCATGGGTTAATTTATTTGTTTGTTTTTAGACCTAGATTTGTTACATTGGTTTTTAGAGAGAGAGGAAGGGAAAGGGGGAGAGAGAAACATCGATATGAAAGTGAAACATTGATTAGCTGTCTCTTGCACACCCTTGACAAAGGATGGAGCCCACAACCTGGGCATGTGCTCTGACCAGGAATCAAACTGGCAACCTTTGGTGCAAGGGAAGATGCCCAACCAACTGAGCCACACCATCCAGAAGTGGAAATATTTTCAATGAACCATGAAACTTATCAGAGGTGTGGGAATGCAGTGCCTCATACAGCAAGCCAGTAACAGCACAGAAAAGATTACCAGTTAGAGCAGAGCATACACGGTTCTGAAAATATGAGATCTTGGTTGTCTGTCTCAATATCCTACAGTGCACAGAACAGTCTCCCACGACAAAGAATTATCCAACCCAAAACATTAGTAGTGTTGAGATTGAGAAACCCTGATTATAACGTCATGCTTTTTTAAAACTCCGAGGGACATTTATTTTTCAGAGTGACTCCATCAGTCAGGGGTTCTGGAAGGAAACAAGGGGCTCATTGAGCTAAGATCTTAAAAGTGGATTAATAAGAAGACCACATACAGAGCTATGGGCAACTTAAGGAGACGGACAAGTGATATGGAGTGTCCCAGGGTCTAGCAATAGCAGAAAGCTGTTACCTTCCTCAGGCATGAGGAATTTAGGGAGTAAAGACTGTATTTCCTAAAGCTGGTTATGGGAGAGGGCAACTTGGCAGGAGCTATGATCACAGACACTCTCAGAACTAGGTGCTGAAGCAGAAAAGGAACAAGGAAAAACTACCCCGTTCTCTCTCCTCATTCCCTCAGGCCTCCCTCCAGACCCAATGGGAAGCCAGGGAACAAAGATGCCCAGGGATTGCAGGTTTCAGGGTCATGCCTCATAGGACACAAAGCCAGACGGAGAAGAACTGAGAGTCTCCTTACAGTGCTCTCCTGGGATGGGGGTTGGGTAGAGGAATGGCAAGCCCAGAGCAACCAGCAGAATGGCCTTTCTTACTTTTGCCTTAGCACACTTCTCAGGTAGCTATAGCCAGTCAAAGGCCTAACAAAGGGTCTAGAATCCACAGTGCCAACATTCGTATGAGAAGTAAAGTACTATTTCCCAAGGTAGTCAACTAACCTTCCAAGCCATTGCCGTACTTAGCAATTTTTAAAAATATATATTTTATTGCCCTAACTGGTTTGGCTCAGTGGATGTGCCCGCAACCAACGTGCATGCCCTTGACTGGAATCGAACCTGGGACCCTTCAGTCCACAGACTGATGCTTTATCCACTGAGCCAAACTGGTCAGGGCTTACTTAGCAATTCTAAGCAAAATACACACTTATGTTTCAGTTTGATATTTTCTGAAGAGCTCATGTCTCCCTGCAGTTCAAGTGCCATTTAAATAGTGTTCATAACCACAGAGAGTGTGGAAAGCAGAGTAACCAGCAGGGTGTTTCTGAGTACTCTAATCACTGGGACCAAATGTCTAAAGTGGAGTTGGAATGATGCTTCCTTGTCCCCATTTTTGCCATCAGTCCTCATCTACTACCTAGACTTCAGTGTTATGGAAAGTGTTGGCTAGAAGCAAACTTTTGATAAGCTGTGTTGGTGGAGAGCAATACATTACACATTTATATGAGTTATCTGTTGATGTATAAACAATTACCCCAACACTTAGTGTCTTAAATCAATAAACATTTATTATCTCATAAAGTTCCTGTGAGTCAGAAATTAGAGAGCAGCTCTGCTGAGTGGTTCTGGCTTAGGGTCACTCTTGAATTTGTGGTCAAGACTGCAGTCACCTGCATGTGACTGAGGGCTGGATTGATGGGGGAAAAGAGACATTTTTGGGGGCTAGCAATCTGAATCTAGTCACCGCCCCTTTCATTGTCTGGTCCTGCAAGACCTGTTTACTCCTATTTTAGAGAGGCTATAAACCATCCCTAGCTGAAGTTATCCATGCTGGTGCCAGGCCAGGCCTTTGGTTGAGGTTTCAAAGCCCCAGCACATGGGGCTCTTTAAGAACTTGCATAGGGGGCCGGAAAACCTCATATTTGGGAGACAAAGGATTGGGAAAGATATAAAAAGGGAAAGCTTCCTCCATGTTGTTGCTCAGAATTTGAAAGACATTTTTTTCTCTGAGCCTACTGGTGTAATAATAATAAAGTATAACTCCATTTCTCTAAGCATTGCTTGATTTTTTTCTCTGGTCTTCTGCAACAGGTTGACCCACTTCCAAAGTGGTTCACTTGCAAGGCTGGCAAGTTAATGCTGATGGCACGCGCCATACATTCTCACCATGAGGACCTGTCCAGAGGGTTGCTTGAATGTCCTCATAACATGGCACCTGGCTTTCCCCAGGTGATCCAAGAGAGCAAGGCAGATGTTTCAATGCCTTTAATGGCCTAGCCTTGGAAGTCACATGGTGTACAATATCCATGAATACCAGGAGGCACAGCTCATTGGAGACCACCTTGGGTCTCACCAGAATTATCCATGTTTCACAGCATTCAAGGTTTTCAATGAAAGGTGCACACAATTTAGTAATCAATAAAATGAGAATGATTCTGGAACATCTAAGTATGACTGTTAAAGAATTGAATTCATTATGACCTTCCAAGGCTCGTAAGGCTACACCAAAGTCTAACCAAAATCCACTTGTTCCTGCAATTTCCTTTTTCTCACTTTTGGTAACAGAGTGTCTAGAAGACCCATGCCTCAGTCATGGAACTCTGAAATGGCTACACGTGCTTGTGGTTAGGTCTTAAATACATGTCTCCAACATCTATGAAGAGTAAGAATATTTTCCTCTTTCAAAAAGAATTATAAAACTCGATACAGATTGCCAAGAAGCAACTTAAATGGTGGCTGTGATTCTATGTTTTTTATTTTTATTTAAAAAAATTTATTTTCTAAATATATTTTTATTGATTTCAGAGAGGAAGGGAGAGGGAGAGAGAGAAACATCAATGATGAGAGAAAATCATTGATTGCCTCCTGCACACCCCCTACTGGGGATCGAGCTCGCAACCTGGGCAAATGCCCTTGACTGAAATCGAACCCGGGACCCTTCAGTCTGCAGGCTGACGCTCTATCCACTGAGCCAAACTAGCTAGGGCTCTGTCTATGTTTTTTAAATTTGTTGAAATTAGTTTGTTTACATAACAGTGCACACTGTTACAGAGAGTTTTATAACAGTGAGTTTGATAACAGTGAGTTTCTGTTTTATCATAATCTTCTATTCATTTTCCTTCTAGAATGGTGATCTAGTTAAGTAGGGGACTTCTAAGGCAGTAACATTCTAGGTGCAATTGGTTTGCGAAGGACCTTTTCAGTGTTCCACTGGAAGGACTCAGTAGGTTTAACAGGCTTTCAGCATAGGTGCTCAGGTACAGTCTTTGG